CAGGCAGTTAGACAATGAACTCTTATACTATTCCTATTCTCAGGGGACAACATGACTGTTTTAAATACGGCAGACTGGTTGCTGAGTTGCAACACGCCCTCCTCCGCAACAAGTATGAGAGATAATGGTACACTGCATGCGACTGGGTGTGCGGATTTGTCCTTCTGGTTTGCTGTCTGGTGCTATTTCTGTTTGGGTCTCTTTTCTGTGTTCCACGTGATAAAGAAGACATGAATATGCCTTTCAGTTGTTTATGATTAGCCCTTGGCTGCAGTTTCCTTATCAACTGATATTCTAATATTAGTTTCTTTAGATCGATACTATTCTTAGTTTGTAAAATTATTTCACAAACACAGGCTTGTGTATTAGTTTTTTAACTACTTATCACTTGGTGGATGCTAAATTCAGCCCAAAAGCAGTCATGCCAATCAGAGCACTAGAAGCAATGTAAACGTACAGTATATACCAATTTAGTCACCTAATAACCCATGAACTTTCATAATTAAACTTAAAATTCTAACATGATTAAAGATATTTGCTTTTGTACAGACTTTTATAACTATTCCAAAGCACCTAAAATAACATTGACAGTCTAGTCTATGTTCCATCACTTTAAAAATTCTCAGTGATGAAAACTATGCAGTTAAAACTATAAATGAATATTAATGCTCAAATGTTTTATTCTGTAAATATTCATTACATTCATAAAGAAATGCACAAAAATTTTCTGCTATTTCAAATGTCAATATGCTGTCAAAATTTGAAAATTAATCCAAAACCATTATATGATTACAGAACCACTAGTTTTAAGATTAAGAAGAAAAACTCGTGCCCGTTAGAAAAGTGCTTGTCAAGCAAAAAGGTAGAAAAAGCACATTTTGGCTAGAACACACTCTCTCTCAGGTTAAATTAGAATGTGAGATTAGTTGAATAAAGAGTGATCCATCATGCTCAGCATTTATATTGCTTAGATTTATTTAAAATAATTGTCATTTTCTTACATTAAATGCAATTTTCATACTTGAAAATACATTGCCAGACTTTCGTTATTCTTAATTCTCATGTGGGGCTGTATTCTTTGGTCAAGAGCCAGATATCTACTATGCTTGACTTTGCAGGCCACGCAGTCTTCTCAAGCTGAGCGGTGACACTGTCATGCAGCAGCAGCCATACAGGGTATATAGATGAACAAGCACTGCTATTTTCTAATAAAATTCTAGTTACGGACCTTGAAATTAAAATTTCATTTAATTTCTCTACTTTAGAAGACATGCTAATTTTGCCCATATTTCAGTTAAAATGCCTAAAAAGCACACATACCACAAGAGCACAAGTACTATTTAGTAATTTACATCTCATATATAAAACGTAAGTGTTAAAATCTTCCTGGTTTTAGGGCCAGCCAAGTAGTTTAGCGGATTAAAGTGCCTGCAAGCAGGTGCAGGGGCCAGAGTTTGGACAATTGAGACTGGGCGTGGTGGCGCACACCTGTAATCCCAGCACTTGGGAGGCTGTAAATAGGTGGATCACTACAAGCCCGATCTAGTAGTGAGACCCTGAACACCCTGTAGACCCTTCCCTAAAATACAATAAATATATAAATCTTCCAGGTTTTGAAGATTCATATTATGCCTCAGGTGGTCACATGGAAGGCCAAACACTGTGTGTCAGGTGCACCTTGATCTAGACTCTGGCACTGTATTCACTGGCTGTGTTACCCTGGGTACGCTAGTCAACTTCTCTGGGCTTCAGGTCCTTTCTGTAGAAGGAAGGTCATAATTCCTACAAGACTATTTCTCATGAGAATAATGTATGTAAATTTATTGGCTATAGATACTAGTATATTTTTCTTGCTGATATCAATATTTCCATAATAGTTTAGCCACCATATTTTAGGAAAATAAAATAATGCACTGTGTTAAAGATTCCAATATTTGGCCAAGTAACAAATTCCTTTGCATTTACATATGCGTACCCTGGACCAACTTCAGACTCCTAGTAGCAAAATGTTACTCATACTTTGATTATTAGCAATGCAGTCCTGGTGGCAGACTGATGTGAAAGCTTTAAGGCATTTTAATGACTTTTATGGCAAGCGGTATATCACAGACTCACCATTCATTGTATAATCTCTCCTTTTAGAGAATGAAACATTTTATTTTCAATGCTGTGTTTTACTGTTGAAATTGGATCACTGTGTAAAATTACTGCAATAAAACTAAAAGGCAAACATCAAGACTAATGAATGGCTTTTCAAGACTGTTAACCTTAAGAATAATTTTAATTGCATATTTTATTAATATCACTTTATGACCCTGTCTTACTTCATCGGCATTGCTCAAGCATGTTACGTTATTTCTAAAGTAATTTAACATATTTTATCACCTTAATTCTTTTTTTGTTTGTTTGTTAGGATTGGGGTTTGAACTCAGGATCTCACTCTTACCAGGCAGGTGTTTATGCCACTGAGCTATATCCCCAGCCCTTATCACTTTAATTCTATCTACACAAATACTCTTGGAGATATAGACTGGAATCAAGATTTTCCTTTCACATATTTATCATTTGTAAATCTACTAAAATGTGAAAATTAAGATAAGCACAATTGCACCTTATCACATACGTCGGTCATCAGGGTTTGCTCTGGATTCCCACAACTGTTCAGTGTGCAAGTGCTACCCAAAAGCAGCAGTAATTAAATGCTACTCAGTGGTGCTCAGATTAACTTGATTTTTCAACAATGCAATTTTAAATTTATGAAATTGTCATATTACACAATACATCTCTTGATATTTTCAGCCATTTAAAAAGGAAACAAACATTCTTAGCTCATGGATCACATATACACAGGCTGTGAGTTTCAGATTTATTTCAAACTCTGAAATGGATTTACATGCATATACATGAAACACATTGTAAATAACAATGCATGCTTATTTCAGAAAATCTCCTTCTGAGTAAGTTAATTCTAGATTCTAGTTTGCTAAATGTATCTGTGAATCTGGCAGTGAGCTATAATAAGCTTATAATTCATACCACTGCAGTGAATCCTTAAACATTGTCCACTAGATTTAATACTATACTTTGAGCTATACTTCCCAATGAGCTATACTTTGTGTGTGAAACTACTTAGATCTGTGGGGCATGGTTAGGACAGATTCTAAAAGGGTCTTCACTTTCTCATTTTTAAAATGTGTCATTTGCTGTGACATGCCAGGCCCTGTGCTAGGAAACAGGAGCTGAGGAATCTAAAGAGTAGGCTCCTGGCCATGCAGGGACTTAAAGTCCAACCGCAGGAAAGCAACACGTGCCAGGATACGTTGCAGGCAGGCGCATGGCAGGCGGAGGCGGTACTTGAGCCTGCATAGAGCAGGAAGAGAATTGAGGAGAACATTTTTAGGGCATGAAAAATCAGACATTGTGATCAGCTATGTTGTGTTTTTTAAACTGGAGTTCAATGTATGAAATAGTCTTACAGAATTTGAGCACATAGGTGACTGGCTGAAGTGTTATGAGTTTATTAGTGAATGTCACGTGAGCAGTAGGACAGCCCACTACTGAGGCTCTTCTATTTTAGATTTTCTTTCCAGAATGAAAATCATAAATTGTTTTGTCGAGTTATTTCAGAAAACCAAATCTTTTATGTGTAGTCAGGAATGAAAGACACTCATAGGTATTCATAGTTTTTGTTTTTTTTTTTTCTGACAAACATAAAAAGAAGCTACAGTTACTATTAAATCTAGTGGACGATGTTTAAGGATTCACTGCAGTGGTATGAATTATAAGCTTCATGATATAGATTTTTTGAAATTATTTGTAGAAGCTAATATTACTATACATATATATATATCTTTATATATATATATCTTTACATATATCTTTAAACAGCTACCACTGTAAACATAGTTCTGAAATGCAACATGTAAGTTACTGGAGTAACCTTTTCAGGATTCAGTTTGATGTTGCAAGAAATACATGTGAACTTCGAGTTATGATAATAAAATGGAGACTGAGAAGATAGCTCAGTGGTACAGCACTTGCCTGGCAAGTACAAGGTCCTGAGTTCAATTCATGGTACCAAAAAAACCCCAACATATTAAAATTGTCTTCCTTTAAAAGTTCTAAATATAGGGCCAATACAATGGCTCAGCAGACTAAGCGCCTGATTAGGCAAGCTCAGGGACCGGGATTCAGTCCCCAGCACCACATGCCACACTGGACCCACCCATGAGTGTGCTGATCCAGTGACTGAGACCAGGCGTGGTGGCACATGCCTGTGATCCCCGCACTGGGGAGGCTGAAAATAGGAGGATCACTACAAGTCCGAACCGCATGGTGAAATACAGTACCAAATAAACAAGTAAAAGATGAAACACACACACACACACACACACACACACACACACACACACACACGCGCATGCAGTATGGTATGATTTTAGATGCTGTCCTGTAAATAGGTTTAAAAAAGAAAAAGAATCTGTTTGAACTCAGTCAAATTAAGAAAGGCAAGATATAGGTTAAAAGTACAGTTAAACATTTCAGTGCATATACATGGAAGGAAGAATTTTGCAAGCTTTAGAAAAATAAATAAAAGCCTAGATTTGTTTAATTAATGAACATCTTCTCAGTAGTGCTATTTATATATTTGTTTAAAATGTGTTCTGCTACTAAAAGAGTTAATAATATCTTTCTTAAGTCACAAAAGCAAAACAAGAGACAAGAAAATAAAATACACTTCAAACATATTTGGAGCTTCAGCAAAAATTACTTCCAATTTTCTACTTTATCTGTTATTATGATATAATGTATGTGTCATAATAGCAACCTGCTTATTACTAATCAGGATAGGGGCCTGGGAGATGGCCCAGTAGAATAAGCTCTTGCCTGGCAAGCTCAAGGGCCTGAGTTCAATCTCCATTTCTGCCAAAAAAAAAAAAAAATCAAAATAGAACTTCATTGTGTTCTAATATATCATTAATAACTAATGACATAATAACTCTTGATTTCACTTCTAGTTTTTCTAACATTTAGACCAAGTTCAATTTATTTATATACTAATATTTATTTATTTAATTTATTTATTTTTGTGATACTGGAGTGGCAGTGAGCTGCATCCCCAGTTCTTTTTTTTGCTTTGTGACGGCAGAGTCCTGACTAACCTGCCCAAGCTGGGCTCGCACTATGACCCTCCTGCCTCAGTCTCCCAGAGCGCTAGGCTCATGCGCATGTGCCCTCACACCACCAGCAGAATTACGTGCTATGACCTAATATCACTTTTCTTTAAAAAGTAAAACTAAAGTAACTTTACAACGTTGGACTTCAAGAAAGGTTGGTTATGCTCCCTTGGTGTGAAAATGAACTTACCGTGTGCCCCGAGTCAGTTTTCCCCCATCTCTTTCGGTCCTACCTGTACCCGCACAGGAAAATAATACTACATTCACACTGACCATTTTCTTTCAAATGTTAGTATCCGTTGTTGACCACCTGCTGCTGCAAATCCTGCATGTCAGCACAATGGCACCTACGGACAGCTGTGCATCTCAGGACTTACTTTTGAGAGATTCCTCTTCTCAATAAAAATGAATCAGAATTTTTTTCTTGGACTAAATAAAGACCATTAATTTTTTAATGAAAGGGATTGCCAGTATAATGACAAAGATCAAAACTCCTTCATTCTTCTTTTAATCACCTGAAGCAATTATAATCAAAACCAATACTATAATTTTTGAAGTCCCAAAGTTGAAATTCAAAAAAAAAAAGTATCTCATGTCTGACTTCTATAACAATTTTAAGACCCTCAGCTCACTTTCTGTCCTCACCCCAATTCAAGAGTGAAATCTGTTATTTCTAGTAGCATGAAAAATCTGTTTCACAAGTATCTTTTTAGATATAAATATGTGTGTATAGGAACTTAACCACAGTTAGAATTTAAAGAACTCTCTTGTCTATGTGTCTTGTCACAAATATCAGAAGTGTGGACAGCGCATCATGGAGAGTAGCCCTTATTCTCTTCTAGATCATCCTCTGGGATTTCCCTATACAGGTGGGAGGATTTCTTGATGATTTGGTGCTTCCTAAAGGAAATACAGCCAAAAGTCTGGAATCTGCGATGTACCATCTGGTTTCAAATCCTATCTCTTTCCAGGAGTATGAATATGGCCAAATTACATTTTAATTTTTATTGTTGTTGTACACGTTTGCAGTACATCATTACATTCATCACGGGGTGGGGAGGGCTGGTGAATGGATGCAATGCATCCTCCTTCTTTTCTTCAGCTCCTTTTCTTCCCCTCCTCACTCCATCTCTCGGCCCACTTCCCTTTTGCAAAAGATCCATCGCCCTCTTTTCTATTATTTCTCTTTTGTTTTGTTCTTTTCATATAAGAAAAACTATCAATATATAAGTTTGTGTGTGGCATTTATTTTACTTAACATTTTGTTCTCACTTTTGTTCTCTTCTGTTCAACACAGAACTCAAAACATTAGCAGGAACAATCAGAAAGAGAAAGGGATGGGGAGAGGAAAAGAAGGAAGTGAATCATCACCACTTGCAACTGACAGAGTCCCCTAAGCAGCAGACACACAATTATTTCAGTAAAAGAGCCTTAAAGTAATAAACAAATACAGCAATATTGCAAGATAAACAGTGAACACATACAAACCCATAGCGTTCCTGTACACCCATGGTGACTTCACTGAGACATTCAGACCACTATGCCAAGGCAGTTATTCACAGCTATCATGAAAAATTAAACAGTTGGGACAGTTATGTATCTTTTCTCAGCTTCAGTTCCCTCTGCTGCAAAGGGAAGATGATAGTGCTCTCTACTGACTGTTGCAGGAGTGAATGAATTAATGCCTCTAAAGCATGGGCAGACAGCCAAGAATGTATTCATCACCTTATGCTTGAGTCCTGTTTCTATCCACTTTTAAACTTGCTGCTACTTCTCTATGTTATTTCAAGAGAAAGAAATGGAACATATGCCTTAGTATGCTATTCTAGTATCTTGGAGTGTCCATTTTTAATAAGGTAAGCCTAATGGTTTTATGGGGAAGATAACCCCATTCTTTCATTCTCTGAGCCTTTAGAAGATTACTGTCAGGAGTATAAACCATTTACATACCTGAAGACAGCCTAGTACAAAAGAAAGATCACAGATATTGAAACTAAAGGTTGGAGTGCAGACCCTGGCCCTATACTTCGCTGCATTAGAACTTACACAGATTCCTCAGCCCACCCAAACCAGTTTCCTTCTGCACAAAATAGACAGTGTTTTACACCCATCAGGGTTGTTTGCAAAATTAACTGACAGTACATGGCTTAGTACATGGTCAGTTTTCTATGAAGGACTTTGCAGTACTAAATAACTTTCTATTGATAGGCATAGTTGATCAAATATACACATAATGTAAACAAAGTGCAAATTACTACTGGAAACTAGTAGCCACCAATTCACTCTTTGTCAGGACAGAAAATGTTAGATTTGTTTCTGACTATTACTGTTATTAAAAGATAAGTCAACCTTAAATTTCCCCTTTACTAAGATAAGTAATCCAGAATTTTGATTCCTCTTTTCAGCCTTCACAGTTCACCTCTGAATCTTACAGCAGATCACTTTATTATTAAATCGTAGATGTTAAGTGAACCCACCACTCACTGAGGGTCTGGTTAACTCTCTTCTTGTGGAAGAAGTACAGTCATCACTTAATACTTTTCTAACCGAGTAGCATTACTGGCTTGATTGGTTGGTGGGTACTGCATGACCCCACTGTTCTTTTTTAGAGTATTCATTCATAGTTGGCTGGTCTTCAACTTCTTTTTTTATAGTCTTCTGCTTGCTTCTAATTTTTTTAACTGCACCATTCCATTTATATCTAGCAAACACAAGAGGTGTTAAGTAGAAAATAATTGACTTTAGTCCCCCAGTGCTGTGATACATGAAGTAGAACTTTGCCAACAAAGGGAAAATATGGTGTGAACAAGTGGGTAGAGGCTTTATCACCTTGCTCACTCTGCATCTAATGGCCACAATGTTTGCCAGCTTACTTCATCGCCAAGTGAGGGGTTTGCCAAAACATACCATGTGGAAGTAGAAATAACACATTACAAGAGTTTTCGGAAGACGTACTTGCTGCTATAGAAGTCATCTCTTATTCTATGTTTCTGTGTATTACACATTAAAAATCATGACATCACTAAAAAGAAAAGCCCAGTGCTGTAAGGCTGCTTGGCATTTTCTATAGCAAAGAATTTATTGGGTGATTATCTTTCATCCATCACATGAGTAGGTTCATGGTTTCTGATTTGCATATTCTTCCACTATGATGCAATCATCTTTTAGCAATATCTTCTTGGAAAACATAAAATGTAAGCTAGTAAATCTCTTTGTTTCGATTTGGATTCAATGTACTGATTCTTCTTTTCTGTGTCTTGACTGTAGTAGAGTGTGCTGATCTGAGTTAAAATACACATACAGTACTGCTGTTTCGCTTCTTAAGGTCGACTGCCATTAAAAAGCCAGACGCAGAGAGCTATCTTAGCCAGAGAATTCGAAAACAAATCCTCTATAAATGCATGCCCATTTAGAAGCTAAATTAACAAAACTTTGCTCACTGGCTTCTCAAGTTTTCTTTTGCATGCCCTGTAAGCCAACAAAATCACTAGTAGAACAGTCATTGATACAAATTTAGAAGTAAAACTCACATGTCCTTATTCTTCTACATAGTGTCTCTTCTTGCAGTCAAAACAGAGCCTTTGAACAGCAATGAAACCACAACCACGACTGGAGATGGAGCGCTTGACACTTTTACTGGGTCAGGTAAAGCCTTTAGCTTGTGTGTCGTTACACAGATGTTGGGGATGTGCTCATCTTCCTCCTTGTGAATAACAGTATAAGCAGCAAAGCTGTTGGAGCTCTCGTCTTCATAAAATCCTGAATAAATTCACTTCTTTTGGAGACCAACTAGTTTTAAAATGATGTATTTTTAAGATCATGTTGGGGATGCTTCGCACTAATTTTTCAGTTGATGGTAAAATAGTCCCATGACTTTTGTCACTAAAGATAGCAGAGCCGGCTTTCTTCCTTGTTACTTTGTGTAGTGTTTAGCTAATTTAATAATTAGGTCAGAATAGCCAACTCTGTTCCTTCAACCTGCCCATTTAAATGACATAAAAAAATCACCTCCTGTCCATCATTGTAGATGTAAAACTATCCGTTTGATTCCTTCTAAATAGCCTTGTTTCCTCTCTGGGTTTAAATACTCCTCCTGTGTCAGCAGCTGACTGACAAACATTAAAGGTTAATGGGCTGCTGGAGCGCACATGCTGGTTGCATTAGAACCCAGCTTCTGGGAGCAGGCTTTGCTTCAAAGAGAACAATAGTGCATCGTCCGGCATCAATCCTTTTTAAATATAAGTACCTGGGAACTCCCAGCTGGGTACAAAGAACATGAATTAAGTTGACTTAAGGATGTTTTATTAAGTTATGGTATTTTATTTGGCCTAATATCCTGTGAGAGAATTTTTTAACCTGAGAAACAATGTGTATTATCAGAAAGATCAATATTGAACCATGAAACCTACAGACACATTTATGGCAATTACACCTTGATTCTATTATTCTGTGACAGATGGGCCAGTTTTATTTGTTTGCAACAGTTAGAAGCAGTTATTACGTATTCACATAAATGCTAGCACTCCCATCAGAAATAAATAGTAGTTCATAAACCTCACCTAATGACTTGTGGGCTTAACCACATCCTTCATAGCAGTTCGCATGCCGCCTGGCACATACACGAATACCAACTCACTTCGTTGTTCTGTAGCGCTCAAGGGCCGTAACTCTCATAATGTTCTGCAACTTAAAGGTAGATGCGCGAATGAGTTTTCATGGAAAAAAATAGAATGAGGAAGTGATTGCTGTCATAGGTCAAGTGTACACAGGCCTTTTAAAAACTGACTGGCAAAACTACACTTTAGCTTCAGAAAGAATTTCAGAACACTCTGATCCCTTTTACAGAGAAGAATACCCAGATGTACAGAAAAGCCCAACATGATCCGGGCCACACAGTCAAAGCCCCACAGCTGGTCAGCCATAGAAATGGATCTAGAGCCACTGTGGACAATCAGTCCTGTTCTTTTCTCTAATAGTCCATGGGAAAATATAAAGACAGAAAAAGAAATAGGTGAACACAATTATCTTATCTGAAATGTTCACATAGTATCTTTGTGTATTTTCCTAGTATTTTTTTTAAGAAAACACCCCATACATAGCAATAGATTTAATTTTTTGGGGGGGGTGGGGTGGGGGGCCTGACTCCGAATGCCTTCAGGGCAGGTTTGGCTGGCTCGAGTTGTAGGGATCGAACCACAGCAACCTGAGCCTGACTGCTTTGTTGAAGCAGCCACTTAAAGAACTGAGCTACGGGGCAGGCCCCCCAGATTTAAATTAATGTAGGAAAAAAATAACATTTTATTTCTGGTCAGACTAGTCACATTTCAAGTGTTTAATTGCTGCCTGTAGTTAGTGGCAATCATATGGACAACTGAGGTATACAGCGTGTCCAAAGTTATGGAGCACTGTGCTCCACGGCAGCAATTTCAGGCTTGGATTCTCAACAGCAACATTTTGGACTAATTCTTTATTGGGAGGGAGCTATATTCTAGCCATCTGCATTGCACGCATCCCTCCCTCTACCTCAATGACCTTATACCCCCATTTGTGACACCCTGAAAACTCAACAGACATCTTAAATGTCTCCTGGAGGACAAAATCCCTCCACTTTGCATCCCATTGAGAACCAACCATGTGAAGTATGATAGTAATAAGACATAATAAGAATACAAACTTAACATTGGTTGACAGTATCCTCCGGGAAACATACTAGATATCACATTTTAAAAAATTATTTCTGAGGATATTTTGAGAATTACTACTTTTGCCTCCTTTTCTCAGAAATCATAGACTTTAATGAGTTGAGTATTTGTGGTAATGTCTCTCTACAACTAATTAAATGGCAATGGGCAATACAAGATCTTTCACATTTGTACATGATATCCCACATGTTTTTTCTAGGGATTATTTTGCTTTGTAGGAATGACGTGTTTATTTTGGTCAGCATAATCACAACTCATTTCCAATCCATTTTTTTTCTTGTTTTCAGTTATCTGAAAATTTATTCACTAGAATACAATGTATTCATTTAGAGAGGAAGCAAAAACTCCAATTTTTCTCATGTGACAGTTTTCTGAGGCAAAGATTTTATGTTTTATTTAGAAAATGAAAAAATAAACATTCATATGACATTTTAAAAGTTAAATTTATAGTGTTGTGAATACTTCACTGTCATGAGGTCTGGATTATTCATTGGAGAGGAAAAGCTTTCTACACATTCAGCATTGTGTGCTTTTGTCTCCTTTGGGATGTTTTCCTGAAATATGGGATCGTGCCTGCTGTTTTATTTGATAAAATCTGCTAGGTGAATGTTTCTTTCTGTTCAGTGTCTTTTTGGAAAATCCTTCTACTTTTCAAACTTGAGGAAAACCAATTAGCATAGATAGCCCAAGTGTGTAGTATACCAAAATGAAGTTCCATTCCCAAACAACAACAACAGCCAACCAACCAACCTGGAATTCAGCCTCATTTAATTGTATATGTGCTAAGTAAAATACTATTGTGAATTAATGAACTAATCTACATTTCCTGTGGAATAATGCTATTATTATAAAATTTCCACTTAATATATATGGTGCAGAGTTTGTTCTCATGAAGCTGTTTTGAAATTTTCAGTGTTCTTTCAAGATTTTAGGAAATTTAATAGAAAATTAATAGTTTATGGGTCGACTTATTTTCAATTTTATTTAGAAGAGTCAGTTAAATTATAGTTCTTGAAACAGTTTAGATTGTAACACTCTTGGTTGATCATATGTGATGATTTTCAAAATTGACTTGAGAATTTCATAAAAACGTATTTACTGTATAATTGCTATGAAAGCTGAAATATGCTTTTCATAGACTGCTCTTAAAGGCAAAATAGCATTTTAAACATCCTAGACTTTATGTTTATGATGTAGTAGATCACAAGGACACTTAGTAGTATCTGGATGTAGAAATATATCATATTTCAAAAAATAGTTAGCAACCTCAACCTATTTGTCACTTTTACAGTTCTAAACGTTTAACTCTAGAATTATTATGAACAACTTAGAAAGGGCATAGTACTTTGAAGTTTAACTATGATTGATTAGACTAAACTAATTCCAGCACTGCATTGTGTACTACTTTAATCTTTTTGAAAAGGGAATGAACAGCAGATGGCCTAATAAAGACATTCTGTGTGCCTGCCCAGTATGGATTGGCTCTGAGGGGACTGACTCGACATGTTAGAGTCCATATATTTCATCTGTCTTAGTCAAGGCAGATGGCTAAATGAAAGAAACTTCCAAACTTTTGGATATATTCCACTATGGGGTGCATATTTGGAAGGAATGTTAATACAGCACGGCTTTGACTTTTAAGTTCCTTACAGAAAAGTATTACATGATATTTTAAGATGTAGTTGTAAATATGATTGCTACCACCTTTTGTGATTAGGTCTAAACTAAAGCATTGCAATATCATTTGTTTTCTGTATATCTGAAAATTGCAAGTCTACTTGGATATTGGAGACAACATTTTTAACCAAATTTGATTGGTAAAAAGAAAGGCTATAGAAAACAATAGCTTGTTTAGTATTAGGAAATGAAGGTTAAAATATCCATTTTTAAAAGATATTAATTAGAATAAATGTGGATATAATATATTGCCACTATATTGGACCTAAATCTAGATTTTTTTTTTTTTTTTTTTTTGGTGGAACTGAGGATTGAACTCAGACCCTTGCGCTTGCCAGGGAAATGCTTATTCTTACTGAGCCATCTCCCCAGCCCTAAATCTAGATTCTTTTAATTTAAAAGTGTACTTATCTAGCATGAAAGTTCAACTACTATATGATCAAAGATATTCATTCCTAGAATATCAATGCATAAGAACTTGCTGGTGATTTGAGAAAATGAAAGAATGATAGAATGATTTATGAAAGAAGTGTTTTTTTCATTCTCTTTAGAACAAATCTAAAAGCTGTTGAATTTTGATGAAATTTATAAGTATTGTTTCTTTTTAGAATCTGAATTTTAGAAAATGGATAGATTTAATTTTTAAAAAATGAATAGACTTTTAGAAACATATATTCAGTGTGGCAGTTCCATTTCATAGAAATGCTTTTATGAAGCAACTTCCTGTGCATGGCTTTTGTGTCTTGCAGTAATAACAAGCAGCGGCTATAGCCCCCGATCAGCGCATCAGTACTCCCCACAGCTATATCCCTCCAAGTAAGTGGTCAACAGATGCTTTTTTTAAAGAATTTATGTATTTGGTACAGGGTCTCACTACACAGCTTGGCCCTGTAGTGATCTTCCTGTTTTCAGCCTCCCCAGTGCTGGGATTACAGGCCTGCGACTCCACGCTCGGTGGTTGGCTCATTGCTGCTGGGGGTGGGGCTAGTGTGACATACAGTACTTGTCATCAAACCCGGGTCCCTGCACTTGCCTAAGCAGGTGCTTAGTCCACTGAGCTATCCCGGCAGTCTTAGGTTCAGTTTTGATAGAGCAATTTTCTGGAATTGCATTTGTTAATCTGTATTCACATCTTTAAATTAGAAACCATTTATATATAAATATATATGTATATATGTTCAATACATAGCTCGACTAATTAAACATTGTAATAAGTATCTTTTACAAAATAAAATAGAAGCTTGACTTTCTCTGGATAATTTCTTTTATTCTGAATGTTCATGTACTTTGAGGATAGCATCAAGTTCAAAGCAAAATACATTTGTTAAGGAAAATTCAAAAGTGCTTCTAGTTTAAAGAAAATATAAAGAGATCATATTTTACCCAATTCAACACTTCCTAATTTATTCCATCATTGAAATATTTTTACTGGATTCCTAGTTATAATAAAAACACTTGTGAAGAATGTTCTTTGTTATTTTTATGACTAATGAAGTCAATGTTTTGTGAACAGTGGTTGATATTTCAAATTGGACTATACTGGCTTTGTATCTGGATTTATTTGGGATCGGCCAGATGTCCCAAGATTTTAGATTCCTGATATATACACATTGCAATATAATGTGACTTTCTGCAACATATAGAATATCCCTAAGAGAAGACTGGGGATTAGATGTCCTTTAGGAAAGTTATATGAAATATGACCTCTTAAAGTGCCTCTGTTTCTTCTCAGGAAAAATTCTCTCTCTTTTTTTTTTCTTAAATACTTTTGGTTTTTGGTAGTGAATTCTTAAAAGACTATTTACCTGTTTATTTATTTCTGTAGTAAGTACAGAGCCGATAGGGTCTCACTGCATAGACTGGTTCATAGTGCTCCTCCTGTCTTCAGCCTCCCAAGTGCTGGGGTTACAGGCATGTGCCACAACACCCAGTCTTCGGAAGACCTTTCAGACAGACTTTTGTAATCACTGTATACCACCAGTCACTCGTCATGAGTGTCTGCTTCCAAGTATGTCAATGTAATTGACTGTCATGTGTTCACTTTTGCTCACCTAAATATTAACTGAACTGCCATTTCAGATGTAAACAAGAATTACAGAGCTGGAAGTGGCTTTCTATACAACATCTCAAGCAAATTTCTCATTTTAAACTTGAGCTAGTCTTGGGGACTTTAAATCATTTTTCCAAGGTTACCGGAGTAGTTTATAGTAGAGCCAGGGTTCTTGACATTCAAAATCTTTCTTATATTGTAAAATTTTGTTGTGGGTAAAGAAGCAGATTGTTTCCTGAATATTATAGGGTTTCACTGAGTCTAAACTGTCTGAATCAATATGCAGTCTTTGTTGCCACAGTAATGCTATTTTTCTGATATTTAGGCCCTATCCACACATTCTTTCTACACCAGCAGCTCAAACAATGTCTGCCTACGCAGGCCAGACTCAGTATTCGGGGATGCAGCAGCCAGCGGTGTACACAGCCTACTCACAGACAGGACAGCCCTACAGCCTGCCCACCTACGGTACTTGATCTCTGTCTTCTTCTTTGGGTATAAGCAGGCAATCCTGCTCCCTGCTAGCTTGATATTCTAATGTAAGTTGGTGCTCAACAGGAGATTGTCTTACTAATTATGTGGTTTGCACGTGCATTTTCAAAACAGATCTGGGTGTGATGTTGCCAGCCATCAAGACAGAGGGTGGCCTTTCCCAAACTCAGTCACCACTGCAGAGTGGCTGCCTCAGTTACAGCCCGGGGTTTTCTACCCCGCAGCCAGGCCAGACGCCTTACTCTTACCAAATGCCAGGTAAGTAGCCGCAGGTGAAAGCTATCATGTTAGAATGTGTTCTTTGAGTGGGACTCCATGGCTACAGGCTAAGGAAAAGCTAGTCATAAAGACATTTGATTTTTACCACTGCTTACAGTTGTAACAAAAAATCAACCACTAGCCAGAAACTTGAAAATAGTTGAATATACATGAAGAAAACATGACTCATATGAAATGTGAACCCTTAACAAACTGCATAGAATCAGCATGAAACCCAGTCCAAGCAAAGCACTCTTTAAGCCAGTCACTGGGGCTATCCTTCATAAGTTTGATGTCTGTTTGAGTAATCTAAAAGATTCACAGCAAAACCAATATTTTTAATATTCTGCAATAATGCAATACTATTTTGATTGTAATGTAATGCTATTGCATTTGAAATGAGTTAGTCCTATTTGTCCAATTATCATAGATTGAGGGCTTTGTTTATTCCTAAAATACCTCTTCCCTATTGATATTGTATTTCTCAGTGGGATTATTTACGTTTTACTACACTTCCCGTACTATCCTGCACATACAAGCATTTAAAAAGTATTCTCACTTTTGACTCCTATTAAAAATTATGCTTGATCTTTATGTAATAGCAGCAGAATTTCCATGACAGTTTAAACATTAAAATTAGTTTTATTTGTTCATCTAAGTTGTTATATAGCTACAGTTATCTTAATGTATTTGAACTAACTCATATTGCCATTTTAGCAACCTCACTGGAATGAAACAACAGGGTGTTTACGGTTCTTTTTACTCAGAAGAAGTGGACATATATTTCCATACAAACTACTAGGCGAATATCTTTAGGAGTTCTGATTAAAAATATGTGGTGAATGCTGCTGCCAAGAGCCAGCCAACAGACAGGCAGGCGCAGGCACACATCACAGTGTGCGTCCTCGTCCGTCTCACTGGCCTGGCACTGTGTGATGTCCGGCTCATCTCCAAAGTCAGAATGACCAGGATAGGTAAATACCAGGATATTGAGACAGCCACACAAGACAATTAAAGGCATTGAGGAAAGAGGACTTCAGAACTCCCTAAAAAATGACAAGAATGAATGAATAAATGTACTCAAAAGCCAGGGAATATTTTAAGGAGGATTAAAAGCAATGTGTCTTTTACAATAATACATTTTTAAAGTTGAATATTAATGGTACTGTTTGATCACACCTTGTGTAACCACAAAGCTACAATTAGCAGTGAGACCATGAACATAAAAATATTTCTCTTGTCCCCAAATATTATCTTATTTCTTATCCCAGACCAAATGAATTACATTGATTGCATACTATATTAGCAGTCAGAACATATTGATAAAACAGATAATCAGTGACCTCCTAGTGTTTTGTTTTACTCTTAAAAAACTCCATGAGGACATATTAAAGAGAAAAATTATAATAATATAAATATAATATTTCTTCTTATTATACCTGCCTTCACTTCGTTTCTTTCAGTTTTGAAAAATGATTAAATAAATTTTGAACTTTCTAATTTTACATGCTTCTTGAATCTTGGACTTGTATAAGCAATTCTTCCTCAGTTCTGAATCTGAATTCACACTCTAGTTTTAAAGAAAGAACATAAAAGAATGAAAGAGTAGGAAGCCACCAATTTCCTGGCCGTTCTAAGTGGAATCTATGTGTTTATTTCCTGGTGACTCCAACCAAATGTTTAATGCTCTTTGTTTTCTTATGCAAATTTAATGAGTAGGACTGGAAAGTTCTAGTTATTTCCTGGAAGAGTCTCAGCCTGTTCAGTACTTTATTCTTTGAGCTCACCCTTACTCGTAGGCCTCTACTCTTGACTATCAGCTTCATTCCTTGGGAAGATAATCCCTATTTCCTCCTGGTGAGCCCAGCACTTTCACCCGAAAAGCCATCACTGACCATCACAGGAAGTGCCACAGCCATGCACACTTACTTTATATATCTCTTCAATTCAAATTTACCACTTTCTGAACATGTTTTCCTTACTGGATTATGCAAAGTGAAATATTAGTTGTATTTTACTGTAAAAAAAAACTGGATTGGAATGTATGATTTTTTTTTTAATTTAGGACAGGATCTATAGGGTGTACAGGGTCTCACTGCATAGATTGGACTCATAGTGTTTCTCCTGTTTTCAGCCTCCCAAGCACTGGGATTATAGGCACTCCCCACCACACCCAGTCTCAATCACCATCTCCATGCACCCCTGGGGCAGGGCCAGCACAGCAGGCTGGGGATTGAACCCCGGCCGCTGTCCTCTGCTGAAGCAGGCGCTTTAGTCTGCTGACCTATCTGGCTAGCCCAGATATATGAATATTTTATTTATTTATTTTCCAATTTATACATAAGCACGGGTTGATAGGGCATCCTGAGATATTGTTATACAAGTACATGTTGTATAATGTTGAAATAAGCATCATAGAGGGTGATCAAAAAATGTAAGTAGTGAGTGCTTTGCTTTCTAAATTTACTACAATAGAAGACTCATTGTCATAAACAGCAGCATAAGAGACTTATGAGTATTTTGAGAGTAATTCATGGCCATGTGTCCTTTACTGAAATTTGTAATTTAAATATTCACTGTACTTTTAATCAAACCTATCCAGCTCTCAGAATTTATCATTTGTACTGAAAACATTCAAAATCCTTCTAGCTGTTTAAAAATGATATAATACCTGACAATTTGTAGTCACCCTGCTGCGGAAGCCTACACTGGAACTTTCTCCTGTCTGTGCCCGGTATCTGCTGACCCGGGTGTTCCTATCCTCCTGTGCCCCACCTGTGCTAACCACTACTGTCCTCTCATAGCGTAAGCCATCACTTGTTTAGATTCTTCAAGTGAGTAAGTTCACATAGCACTTTTTGCTCTGGACCTGACTTACTTTACTTAAAATAATATTCTTCAGTTCTATCCAGTCGAAAATGACAGGGCTCCATTCTCTCTGCTGGCTGAAATATATGAAGCCTATTAAAATGCACTTTGTTCTTTGCCTCCAGGTTCTAGTTTTGCACCATCCTCCACTATTTATGCAAATAACTCAGTTTCGAACTCAACAAATTTCAGTGGTTCGCAACAGGTATAGTAGCTTTTTACATTTGTGCTTTTTGTATGGATTGCAGATGTTTGAAGTGCATGCCCAATTTGACATATGCGTTTTTCAGAAAGTGTATGGTCTCCAAAATTATGTTTCTTTGTTTAAAATCAAGTTAGCATCTCAGGACAGTTCAAAATTACCTACCAAGAATTTTTGAGATCTGTGTTATTCTCTTTTTGATTTGTTTATTTTTGTTTTAATTTTGATTTCTTAAAAGTTTGTCCATTAAACATTTAATTTACAGCTATTTACATCATGTACATGTATAATTACATGTACAATGTTAACTATAAAATAGATTGCATACTTTACTGTTACCTTAAACTATCCTAAATGCTATTTTCTTACTATAAGATAAAACACAATTGTCATTATTAATATTAATTAATAAATTAAACAAAAATCAAATGTACGATTTTACTGTAGACTACAAGAATTTTTTGTTCAAAAAGATACTGTTAATTACCAGAACTACTGTTGATTTTCTATTATTACAAATATTAGAAAAAAATTAATTCTAGATCTTTAGTTTTATTATTTTATTTTTTACTTCTCTGAATTCTCTTAATAAATGTTTGGTTTCTACTTCCTCAATATCTGTGTATTTTGTTTTATGCCCTGAGCCTGCCTTTAGTAGTTATACTTACTTATTTATCTAATCATTTATTTATTTGTTTGTTCATTTGGTCCAGGGCCTCACTCTATAGCTCAAACTCATAGTGATCCTCCTGTTGCAGCCTTCCCAGCTCTGGGATCACAGGCGTGTACCACCACACCCGGTTTTGGTGGCCAGCTCCACACAGGGCCAGCAAGGTGTGTGGTACTGGGAATCAAACCTGGGT